GGGGGGAGGAGACACTTGGTGGTCTTCTCCTTGTGTCCTAATTCCCACACCCAGGGTGTGGGATCACCCATTAAGTGAGTCATTGTGGGCACAAAAGCTTTCACATCTGAATCCCCACCATAGCCCTTAATTTGAAGGTCTTAGAAAGTGATCAGGGTTAAATACGGTCATAAGGGTGGGGCCCCACTGATGGGATTAGTGCCTTTATGAGAAAAGAGAGACCAGCTGTCTCCCTCTTGCTGGCTCTCATTTTCTCCCTCTCCCTCTCCTTTTCTTAAATCCATCCCTCTGCCTTGTGAAGACAAAGGGAGAAGGGGATCATCTGCAAAACAGGGAGAGAGCCCTCACCAAGAACTGAATCATCTGCATTTGGGTCTTGCACTGCCCAGCCTCCAGATCTGTGGGAAATAAATGCCTGTTGTTTAAGCCTGTCGTATGGCATCCCCAACTGACGACAAATCATTAAGTTAATGCACTCAATTTCTCTGCTGTTAAAGAACAAAATTCAACTGAGTAAATTTGAAGAACTAGTTGGCTTTATTAAGTAATTCATAAATCAGGCAGCGCCCCATCTAGCAATTGGTCTGAGCTGTTGTGCATCATGAAAAGTTTTTCTGGAAGAAGGGTAGGGCAAGGGTAGGGCAAGGGAGCTATTAACGGAAGAAAAGAAAGGATTACATTTCAGACCAGATCATCTGCTTTTGGAGGGAAGGAAATGGCAAGGTTCTTATCATGCAGATTGTCTCTTCATTCTATGGGGCTTGGAGAGGACCCACATGACACTGCCTTACTGGTGCCTGACCAGAAAATTCCAGACTGGCTGAAACAGCAATGAGATCGAGGTTTGGTACCTGGGCTTTATCAGCGTGCCATTTGGGACCCGTGGTTTTCTCTTTAACACTGCCTCCCGCCTCCATCATTTCTGTGGAATTTTAGTTTCTTTTGTGGAATACTAATTGTAATAATATATTTGTTGGCCTATTAGCTTGCTGTTTATCTTCATAATCAGATGGTGCCCTCCATGAACCTGTACCTCTTTTGCTCACCAGTCTGGACCCAGGGCTGTGCCCCATGCCTGGCACATGCTAGGTGCTTAACAGTGTGTTTCTTAGGAAATGCAACGCTGACTACAGGAAGGCCTTCAGCCAGTTCTCTGCACACTCCTCCTCCCCGACTCACACCACGTTTGCCTGTTAAAAACACTCAGATCCCCAGACTCAACCCTTCCTCATCAGCGTTTGCTGGGTCTTCCTACCCTTTTTGATGTTTAGGGGAGCTGGGTGAAGTTAAGATCAGTTTTTAGTGAGGAAAGGTGCCGTGGGTCATTAATAAAAACACATTAAGTTTTAAATTGTGGATTCACCTTGAACCCCCAAACTCATGCTCATGACAGGAAGTGGATGAGTCACGCCTCCCACCACTGCGAGTCCTCTGGGTCGGGGCTGATAAAATCAGCATCAGCTGCTCGGGCCCTGCTGGGTTATCAGGGTGCTGCCCCAGGTAGGCACAGGTCACAGAGTCCTCTGCCTGGCATAGGTGGGGCTCCGAAACTTCCCCGCGGTGGTGGAGCACGGGCTCTGGGGTGACCCCTCCCGAGACTGTGTGCATCCTGCCAGCGAGCGGGCACGGGGTGGGAGGGGCCGAGGTCGGGGCAGACGGGGCGGGCTGAGCCCAGCCATTTGCAGAGCTGGGGAAACAGTTCCCGGAATTTCCTCTCCAGCCGCCGAGTCCGCTTCCTGCCTCCCTGAGAGGAAGCTCCGTGAGCTCATGCAAGTGCAGAAGCGCACCCCCCGGCCTGGGAAGGCCCCGAAGGGGTCACTCCACTCAACCAGCCGGGCCTTCTGCGGGGGACTTCAGTTCAGCTTCCCGAGAAGGCTGGCTGCGTCCCGCCGCTGTGGGAAGAGCCTCGTGTCCCCACAGGCCGGCTGTGCGGGGCAGGGCCCCGGGGCAGCGGAGGCCCAGCCACAGGCCTGCGCGGAGGGAGGCAGAAGCCCGCAGCCAGGGCCCCACGCGGACTCCCCCCCTGCTGCCGGGCTTTCCGGGGGCTGGGTGCCCCATCCTCTGACTTGCTGTTCACCTCTTGGCCAGTCTTCATCCAACCTGCCTCGGGCTTTTCCCCGGGGGAAGAAGCCATCTCCAACACTCACCTTCAGGAGACAGTGACCACCCCACACCTTTTATTGATCTGACAAGGAGGCCTCCGGGGCAAAAGTGTCAGCGGGTCCCAAATGGTGTGACATTAGTCAAGTTCTCTGAAGGCGATGGGATCAGCGCTTCCCCAGAACTGGGTATTTCCTCAGAGTGAAAGGGGGAGAGGCATCGTTGGAGATGAGAGGGGACGTGACAAGCTGTCCTCAGCCGCCTCCTCAGGACACAGGCTGGGGCAAAGCAGTGTACCAGACACTCAGGCCCCGAGCTTGGGCTTGCTCCACCCACCCGGC